TGCTTCCTTCTTCTCTTTCTTGTTTTTTGTTCTTTAGGTTTTCCTTTTCCAATTCTCTCTTCTTCGTTTTGGCTTGGTGCTCCCTGCCTGGCCGGCCTCTTAGTGGGCGCGAACAGGTTACTATGTTTCAGGTGTCAGGGCCGGTTCACACCACAAAGTCTGCATTCCAGAGCGTTCTGCCTCCGAAGCGCAAGACGGCCGGCCCACTTTGTTTTGGGGCGGGAGGGGGGCGTGGCGGTGCATTGAAGTCAATGGCAAAGAAGCCACGGCCCCTGCCCGCAGAACACTGCGGATGGGGGCGTGGCTGTGGTGCCATTGACTTCAATGCACCGCCACGCCCCCTGCCACCCCAAAACAAAGTGGGCCAGCTGGCTTGCGCTGCGGAGGCAGAACGCTCTGGAACGCAGACTTTGTGGTGTGAACCGGCCCTCGCTTATATTGCTCCATGAATTCTTAGGGACCTACAAGTCCCTCATATTGTATGTATGTGGAATGTAGCACTGTAGCACAGCTGTTGGGGGCTCTGGGGAAATATTGGGGGTCTAAGCAGTCCTCTGATATTTCCCTTTTTAAAATAAAGAGATTGAGGACACAGAGTCCTGGATCTCTTTTTCTGCATCCCCTGTTATCAATGAACAGGAATCCTCTACACTGAGTGCTCCTGTCCATTCATAATCTGTGGCAATAGTATGTTTACTATGTCTACAATCATGAAGGAACAGGAAGTGATGTAGAGCATTTCCTGTTCATTCATAATTGGGGGCACAGTAAAGATACCCTGTCCTCAAATATTTACAAACACTTAGCAATCAGCTGATCGCTGACTGCTTGCTCCCGCTCTCCATTCAGACTCGCTGTCACTGGAGGCTGAGCCGGCGGTGCTGGGAGGAGAGCTCTGTCTCTTTTGGCAGCTGACTCCTCCCCCACACCGCCGGCTTTGCAGCTCACAGCTGTCTCCTCCCCCACAACGCTCTCCTGATCTGTCATGGGAGGCCGAGCGGGGCAAAGCTTGGCCTCCTGTGACAATCGCCGATGGCATCACTCTCCTCCTCGCCCCGCTCTGCCTGCTGAAGGTTTCTCTGGACGCTGCTCTGTCTCAAAAGGGTCTCCATCGAGGAGGGGACAAACTAGGGATGCACCGCATTTTTACCAGAAAATTGTATTTTCTGCATTTTGCCCAATGTTCCATTTTCAGCCGAAATTCAGTGCATCCCAAAACAAAAACTACAAACGTAAAAAAATGACGCACAAGTTCCTACAGCACACACATTCATTGTTCAAATATGTTTTTTTTTTACAATGTTTAACATGATTTCTGATACACACCGGACTCGTTTATTTATTCATTCATAGCAGTGATTGTAACTTTCCTTTACACTACCGGAGAATACTTTCACCAGGAATGAATGTAATAGGAAAGGATTTGCCGCACATTTCAGAAACACTCTTCTCAAACATTCTACAGTCTCATGATGAAAAGTCACCAGCATACACATTGGATGGGAGTTTATCAAAACGGGAGCAGACAAAATCTGGAGCAGCCGTGCATAGGAACCAATCAGCTTCACTCTTCAGATTGCTCAGTTAAGATTTGAAAATGAGAGAGGCGCTGATTGGTTCCGTACACAGCTGCTCCGGATTTTGTCTACTCCAGTTTTGATAAATTCCCCTCATTGTTTCTTCAGTAGTACCCACACCCTGGTAGAGACGTTCTTCTACATCACCCCCACACATAGTTCCCTCAGCAGTTCAACATCACTCATTTCTGTCTGCACCCCTGTGTTGTCACAGTGTTTCTGACAGCTCTCCTCCCACCATCCACACTACATTCTCTGACAGCTCTCCCCCACCATCCACACTACATTCTCTGACAGCTCTCCTCCCACCATCCACACTACATTCTCTGACAGCTCTCC